TAACATAGGGTTATGAAGCTCAACAAGGTTGACACTGGTTTACTGCAGTTAGCACTTTTAGTAAGTCAAGATTTTATTATCAAGTATTATCAAGTTATGCTTAAGCTCCCTTTTCAACCCACATAATCATATATCAGAACCAATTGAGTCATAAAACATCATCATAATATCATCATAGTCATCATGTATGAACAACATTATAAGTAGCCATTTATTCTGTGAGTTTTTTGGGCCGCTCGTGACCGTAAGCACTGCTGTTATAACAGTTTGTAACCCTCTGCAGAGGTGGTGCACATTCACCGCGAGTCGTGATTCCCATATGCCTGGGTTAATTACTCCCATATCACTGCCAAGGTGAGCGGGTAGGGTACACTATGAAGTCATTTAATAGGTTTCTCTAACAAGTTAGGGCCGCTAGGTTTCTTTGGCAGGCAGATGTAGGAATCCCCCTTTCCTATGGCACATATCCATCGCGGCTATACACATAGGAACAGAGGCAGTCCTATACCCAACGTGGCAAGCCCTTTTGCGTCATAAAGGTAACCTCTAACAAGCTAGAAAAGGTCCTATTACTGAGCTAAAGTCAGAGCCATATGACCCTCACGGTTGCACTGTCAGTCCCAGCTTTTGTCGACAGATAAGTCCTTATGGAGGGCCGAGAGCATCATGATCGAAAGTCATTAGCTCCATCGCCCTATAATTCAGTTGTTTAAAACAAATTTTACCTTTTCGTTCCATAGAACCATCATTCATTATGTGGATCATGTATAGTTACTTTGAGTGGTAGCAAACTACCCATATGCATATAACCCATAGGAGACAAGGAACAGGATAATCAATCACTAAGATGTCCTTACGGGTATCAAAATTAGGCACATGCAAATGAGTAATTAATAAAGGTGAATAGGCATCAAGGTAGATCCCATGCTATACTTGCCTTGGTTAGCAAACTCCTGCTGGTCTGCTAGTCGTCGAAGAACTCTTGGTCTCCAACGTTCTCCTCACCGTCTGAACACGACCAACATGGCAGCGTACAACATTCCAGGAACATTCATGCAAAGCAAACAATTCTATGGTTAGAACAGTACACCAACAGTAAAGAAAACAAGATAAAATGTTTATGAAAAGAATCTACGTCTCGCTACGATCACGTCAACACGAAGTTCACGAAAAACGGAGCTAAAACGCGAAAGTTATGAATTAAACGGGGTTTCCTATAGTAATTTATTTAATTAAATCTAACCATGAAATTTAAAAGTTGCAAACATGATTAACATTGGTACTAACACGTAGATTATGAAATTACGAAACTAACTCAATTTGAACGGGTCAATTCGGAGCTAAAACGACGATTTTATGAACAAAACGGTGTAGTGGCATTTCTGTAAATAGTGAAAACGTATTTTGGACTAAAACCGTATACTTTACGTCTTCAAAACGAGAAAGCGTACTCTGGAAACGTGCTTTGGACTGCGGGTTAGGACTTAGAAAAACTCAGGGTCTCTTTAGCAAAACTGCCAGGGCGAAAGGGTATCGGCTTCTGTGAGCCGTTGATCAAACGATGGAGGGCTCGGATTAGAGAGGGGAAGAGAGAGAAAGGGAGGCGCCGGCCGGAACAGTAAATCCGGCGGCAAGGCTCCATGGACGACGACGAGGTGGTCACTGGCGCGCGGGGAACAAGGCCTACGGGCCATGGTTCGAAGAACCGAGGGCACCGGGAGAAAGAGGGGGAGCAGGGGATCTCGGCCAAGCCAATACGGCGGCCGGAGGACGTTGCTGACGCGGGGGTCGCCATGGCCGGCGGCGAGAGCACACGGCCGCACGCGAAACGGGCTCTAGAAGCCATGAAACGAGAAATAAACTGCACGGGAAACAAGAGGGGAGAACGGCGAAGCTCACAGCGGGGAAAAACGGGTCGACGGCGGCTCGGAGACGGCGGACCACGCAGAGGCGAACGGCGGATCCCGGCGCGCGCTGCGGCGGTTGCAGTGGCTTCCTCGACGCTTGGCGAACGCGAAGAAGAGAACGGGGAGGCAGCAGGGGTGCGCGCGGGCGGTTCGGCACCCTTTAAAAGAGGCCGGGGAGCGGGGCGACGCGCCCACGACGCCAGGAGTGGACGGCGGTTGCGGCTTGGACTCGCGCGGCGGTTGCGGGAGGAGGGAGACGGCGCTGACGCGCGGGCCCGGTTCGTCAACGGCTGTGGAGAGGGAAGGGCGCGCAGCAACGGTTGTCGCCCGAGTGGGCCGGCCCAGGAAAGGAAGAGGGGGAGGGCGAGTGGGCCGCGGGAATGAAAAAGGCCAATTGGGCCGGAAGCGAGGAAGGGATGGAGAGAAAAGAAGAAATCTTTTTTCTTTTTCCAAATAAATTTTTCAAACTCATTTTCAAGTTGAATTTGAATTCAATTCAAATTTTAGTCAAAGCTAATCATTACAAAAACAAATGTGCAGCAGCATGAATGCATCAACATGTTTCTATTCCTTATATTTAATTTTAATTTCCCAAAAATTATTAATTTCCTATATTTGAATACACACTTAATAACATAATTGAATCAATTTTACTTATTTTAAAAGAATGAAAATTTTTGGGTGTTACACTTTCCAGGCTCTTCTATGCTGCTAGGACGAAAGATCTGGCTCCAGACTCACTGCCAAATTCAATGGGTCTATTTTTTACAGGTATGTTAATTGTTGTGAATGAACCAACTGAGCCATTTTTTGCTCCCTGTGTGGAATGGAATTTCTGTTTTAAGAATTTGTGTTGCTAACAATTATTTATCATCAAATTGCAGAAAACTAATATAATTAGGGACTATTTGGAGGACATAAATGAGATACCAAAGTCTCGCATGTTCTGGCCTCGAGATATATGGAGTAAATATGCAGAAAAGCTTGAGGTATACAAAATATTCAACTTGTTTTTACTGCTATTGAGTAGCTTCACGGTTGGCATATGTTCTAAAGACTAAATTATAACACATCCAGCAACATTTCATCATATTTGAAATTCCAAAAAAGTAGTACGGTGCTTGAATGATATGGTGACTAATGCACTAATTCAGGCTGAAGAGCGTTCAGTACATGTTAGCCTTGAAGGATCATGCCATTTTCCGTTCTTGTGCAATACCCGAGGTACATAACTTGTTTGACTTTATTTTGCCTATTGAGGACCTAGTTTTTCAACGCTATTTCTGGTGCTCCATTCATAAATCTAGTTCCAGATTGAACACTGTTATTTAGAATTTTAAGTCAAATCTGCACATAAATCCTCTCTCAAAAAAGTACAATTAGATGTGTTTGTAGCTCTGGAATCTGAATTTGTTTGATGAAAATTAAAATTATTAGCTACTGCGCTAGCTTTAAATGATTGTATTTTTTACTACTTCTCTCTATTTCTCAAATGTCCATGTTTATCTCACCTTTCAGATTACAAAACAAGAGGTACCTCTTGTGCTGATGCTTGATAAGAGGACAGAAGTGTTTGGTAGGTTTCCTTTTGCTGCTAGGCTAGCTGGTACTAGCTAGTTCCCACATTGCGTTTTTTTATGCAGCCTTGTAGGTAACACGTGGAGATGCTTATTTTCATATATTTTAGATCTTTTATTACGCAAAAATTTGAAGACTGTGTTCCAAGTTTCAGTGAACCTGCATATCTTGATATATGACTGAGTTGGGATTTTGGTTTACCTTCTTCTGATGATTTTCTCCTGGATTTTGAGATCCTGTTGTTCTTAGTGATTCAAATGGATCTAGTGAACCTGCACATCTTTTGGCATGTATTTGGGAAAATTTGGAATGGTCTTACTTTATTAGTAATTCCCAACAAAAGTAGATGCAGAACTTTTGTAAGAGAGAAGGTTCTTGTGGTGGATTGATTTTGGTGGAGTACCTGCTTTGCATCTTCTTGGTTTCCTTCTGATCTTGGTGTTAATTCGATGTTTGGTCATGCTTTCCCCTTTGGTCCTCATCGGCTTTCTCTGTCTCCTACGGCGCCGCCGCGGCCATGTACGTAGTTAGCCGCGAATGTGATTTCTTTTGGTTGCCTGTTTTCTTTCTTGTCGGTCAAGTTGCTGCCTGCTGTACTTTTCCTGATCGTTAGCTGGCTATGTGCTGCCCTTTTTGCCTTTTTTCTGTTGATTATTTTTTGGAAGATAACAACTGTAAAAATCTTCCAGAAGATAACAACCATAAATATCTTCCAGAAAGTTAGTCATGTGACGTGCATGTGCTGTTATTTTAGTTGTGTTATCTCATGTGACATGTTAAGCACTGATTGGTTGAAAATGTGGAAGATAACAAACAACAAAATCTTCCATGAGATGTGTAGTTAGTCCCAAAGTTAAGGGGGTCGAAAGAACTATTAGGCTCCGTTTAGTTCCGAAAATTTTTGGTTTTTGGCTACCGTAGCACTTTCGTTTGTATTTGACAAAAATTATCTAATTATGGACTATTTAGGCTTAAAAGATTCGTCTCACGATTTCTCGGCTAACTGTGTAATTAGTTTTTTTTCGTCTACATTTAGTACTCCATGCATGTGCCGCAAGATTCGATGTGACGGGGAATCTTGAAAAATTTTGGATTTTGGGTTGCATCTAAACGGGGCCTTATTTTCATTATTTCAGGTCACCAGCAACCACGTCCAGCCCAAGAAATTCTCTAGTCCCGGCCCATCAAGCCCAATAATGCGTAGACCCAGTAAACGTAGTATCGGCCCACGAATCCAACCACGCTTGCGCCTGCCTTGCCGTCTCTTGCAAACCTCTCCCCCAACAACCCGATCGCCCACGCAAACCTCTCCCCAACTCGATCAAACCGCGGACGAAAAAACCCCACCAAAATTCCCCCAAATTTCATACCTCCTCAGCCCCAGGAATCTCGAATCCCGATGCTCCCAGCCTCCACCGACTCCCTGGCGGTCGTCACCAGGGCATGAGCTTCCTCCGCTCGCTAGCGGACTCCTTCTCTTCGCTGCTCTTCTCGTCGGGGGGCGGGGGAGCGCCCATGGACGCGGCTGGGGCTGCGCCGTCGCCGGCGGCGGTGGTGGGGGAGCGCGTGGCGGTGAAGCTCAGGGGCTACTTCGACCTCGCCAAGGAGGAGATCGACAAGGCCGTGCGCGCCGAGGAGTGGGGGCTCCCCGACGACGCCACCGCGCACTACCGCAACGCGATGCGCGTCATGCTCGAGGCCAAGGCCGCGCGCGTCCCCGACGCCGTCTCCTCCAGGTGCGCCCGGGTTCGGTTACTCGTCCCCGTCGCGGCTAGAGCTTCTACAATGGTTGGTGACTGACTAGTGGGAGCTTGCAGCGAGAGGGGGCAGGTCAGGGTGTACCAGGAGAAGATCGCCAAGTGGCAGGCGCAGGTCGAGGAGCGGCTCAGAGTGCTTGGGCAGAGAAGTGGTGAAGGTGTGCACTCCTTTTTCTTGTCAATTCAGTTCCACTATGATAAGCCACTGCATCGCTAAATGTGATCAGCTATGTGCGCTTTGCGTCTATGATAATCTGCCCTACAGCCATTGTTCACTCTGTTATCTGCTTGAAAGTATGTGCTATCATCTAGACGACTAGACATTCACTTAGCGAGCTGTTCAAAGGTTTGGTATTTTGTTATCTGATTACTAGGCGTGTTTGGCATGGCTTCTCGCGGCTCTGCTCCTTCTACATCTTGTACTGTAGCAGTACTGTTCATAGGAGTCGTTTTTCTCTCTCCGGTCTAAATGAACTGGGAGCCAGGAGAAGCTATGATTTGTAGCTCCTCTGGTACTGTAGCGAGGAGCCGGAGGCCGAAGGAGCCCTGCCAAACACGCCCTAGTCAGCAGTGTTGTTAAGGGCTTCAAATATTATTTTGTTTCTACATATGGATTTTTTCCTGATTTCCTTGTTCACTGTACTTCCTTGGGAGTTAATTGTGTTATCTTGTCTGTGATTTTCAGGGGCCACTGCTGCAGTAGTGCCTAAGAAGGTACAGTTCTCGACTTCTAGCTGCATGTGGGTTTGTATCTTGTATCGAACTTTGTTTCACAGCTTAAATATTTGTTACCTTCTGAATTTTAATGTCTTCATCTAGGTTATTTGGCATAGGAATGTGATATAATGTACCTAGTTTTTTTTAGTGAAATTAAAACAGGACTATATTCTATGCAAACTTTTCCTCCTTGCCTGACTAGCCCTATTTCAGTGATATGTTGAAATAGTGCAACGGACTACTTGTTAAGCTATGCTCTTGTTGGGGGTGGTCAGGGAGCCACCCTCTATGGTATAATTTTTTTCAGTTTTGATATCAAAATATCAAACACTAGAAAAGTTACAAGTATCATTATTGTAGGTTGCTGCAAGCAATCCTATTGGTAGGACTGCAAGAACAGCGCCAAATAGCATCCAAAGATCTCCTTTGCAAAATAGTCCTACCTTCAACAGAGGTGGCCAAGCATCTGGACATCAGAAGATAGGAAGTGGAGCTTCCAGACCTGTTCAAAAGGCTGGTGGAAGCTATGATGACAAGCTTGTTGAAATGATTAATACAACAATTGTGGATAGAAGCCCTGCTGTTAAATGGGATGACGTTGGTATGCTGCTGAGTCCTCTATAGTCCAGTAAAACATTTGTTACAGTATCCTTGATCAGACGTTTGATTTGTAGCTGGTCTTGACAAGGCAAAGCAAGCACTCATGGAAATGGTTATTTTGCCTACTAAACGAAGGGATTTGTTCACCGGACTTCGGAGACCTGCTAGGGGTAAGAGCATTCTGAAACTGTCCTGTTTTGCACACTTGTTCTATTAATAGGAAGATCTGATTAAAGCTCACTTCATCTTTTAGGTTTGCTTCTCTTTGGTCCACCTGGGAATGGAAAAACAATGCTTGCCAAAGCTGTTGCATCAGAATCTGAAGCAACATTTTTTAACGTTTCGGCTTCTTCATTGACATCAAAGTGGGTATGTGCTTATCCTTAACTTTGTGACAATTTTTCGCTAGAACAGTCTAAATTAATTCGTTTTTCATTGGAGAACAGGTAGGAGAAGCTGAAAAACTTGTCAGGACACTTTTCATGGTTGCAATTGATAGACAACCATCTGTTATTTTTATGGACGAGGTTCGTGTTGCATGCTGTTTGTACAGTAATCATTTGTAGTTAGCTTCTCGATTCATATTCTTTCTGAAATTTATGTAATAGAATTCTATATTTCTATTCAGGTTTGCTTTGCTTCCGTTTTCTCTAGAATCTTTTATTGATGGAACCTTTTGCGAGATTTAAAAGTACTCCCTACCAATTTGTTAGAAACCTAGAATGGTGATGTATCATTAAAAACAGAAAGGTTTGATCATTTGAAAAAAAGTATAATTATTAGACATGGAAAAGAAATAATTTCCATCCACTTGTTTTCCGTATGTTCTCCACAAAACAGTGGATTCCATTAAACATTGCATTCTGCCCTTAGATTTATGCGACATGTTTTTGTTAGCATTTAACTTCTTTTGGTTGTCCTGTAACTCCGTTGTTTCTTAGTTTGACATTTTTGCTGTGGCCTGTTCCAGAAATCTATTTGATATACACAGATTATTTTGTTTTAGTTTGTGATTTTGCAAGTAAAATCTTTCTGTTATTAGTTCTGGTGAGCAAAAGGATGTCTATATCTTCTGTTAGTTCAGTTGCCATATGATATTCTTACAGTATTGAACTGCATTTCTTAGGTGATTTTATAGATTATCATATTTTAGTTGTTTTCTTGTAATATTGGAGGCTGAGGCTTCTTTGTGGTGGCCGGTTTTTACTTTGCAGATTGATAGTGTCATGTCTACAAGGTTGGCTAATGAGAATGACTCTAGCAGGCGACTGAAATCTGAATTCCTTATCCAATTTGATGGGGTATCCTCAAACCCAGATGATTTAGTAATTGTTATAGGTTAGCATCTTTATCTTCCTCTAGTTGTTTAATTACGCTTAGCTTTTACCGTATGTTTGGATCTAGCTAAATATATGATACATCTTACATGTGCAATTGTAATTCTAGCTAAATATATGATACATATTACATGTGCAATTGTAAGTTACAACTAGATAGTCCTGAAACCCCATACTAAAATATTTATTTGCAAGTTCTGCTGTTTTGGATTTGATATCCAGTATTTGGCAGTCACTTCAATTTCAATGTAAATGACCCTTAACTTCAACTCCTAGTATTTGGTTTCCATTACTTAAGTAACCTTAATTCTGGGCTCCGTCATTTCTGAAGCAGTTTTCAGCCTTATAGGGCAGGAGCTGTCATCACTACAACAACAACAAACAAAGCCTTTTAGTCCCAAGCAAGTTGGGGTAGGCTAGAGTTGAAACCCAACATGAGCTGTCATCACTAAATTAGTCTAATTAATATTCCACTTTACCTTCTCATCTTTTAGTGACCACATTTCTCATGATTACTTGTTTAGTAAAGAAAAAGAGCCTGGAAAACTAATGATTGTTCTTTATGTTACCAAAATATGACCTTTATTTTTGTCTTCTTTACATAGCGGCTGGTTTTATAGAACAACTCTAGATTAGCTGTGTTCACTATGTATATGGATCCTATTTGACATGACATTATCTGTATATAGGATTACAGGTGTTTTTTTAGTTTTTAATGCTGAATTATCTTTCCTTGTGTTATCTATATTTTGTTGATGCCAATTCTCTGTCCAGGGGCTACTAATAAACCTCAAGAGTTGGATGATGCTGTTCTTCGAAGACTGGTAAGATCTATTCTAACATAGATATGGTGTGGTACTGTTTTTTGTTGAGTTCAGAGTTTGTGCAGCATGGAAGCTTTACACCTGATTCCTGAGATACTTGTGCCTCAATCTCTATTGCATTAGTGGATTAGCCTGTGAGAGAAAATTTCTGAAACTGAGAATGGAAAAATGACAGTTTGAACTAGTTACAGTAGCAACTTGTGTTTGTCAATATCTTTTAGTAAAGTAGATGGCTACTATAAAGCATGGTTGATGACGCGACATGTAATTCATTGATACTGTAGTATCATTATTCTGTTCTGTTACTGTATTAGTCAGTGAGTGAGTTAGGAGCTGGGCCTTAGGATCATTGTTGAAGTGTTGTGCACTTATTTTCTCATTAATACCATACTATGCTGTCTTGTTTTTCTAGATATTGAATGCCACTTTTTTTATCCGATAAATAGGTAAAAAGAATATATGTGCCACTACCTGATCCAAATGTACGGAAGCTACTTCTGAAAAATCAGCTCAAAGGACAAGCATTCAAATTGTCGAGTAAGTGCTCCAAGGTTTCTCTTGATAACTACTTGATCGTGGTGGTTGTATATATAGCATTTTTTTTTTACGCTTGGCACAGTAGCTAACCTGGAACTGGTTCCTGACAGACTATGATTTCAAAGACTTGCTGTGGAGACTGAAGGTATTGTATATTCTAGTTAGTATATGGTTGTTTTGAAAACATGGGCTATGTTGTTCCTGACAGTCCTGTTTGTAGGATATTCTGGAAGTGATCTGAGAGCCTTGTGCGAAGAAGCTGCAATGATGCCAATAAGAGAGCTTGGTCCACAGAATATTCTTACTATTAAAGCAAATCAGGTACGTTTTAAAAACAGTCTGAACTTAGATTCATTTGTTCTGAATTTTTTCACTGTTAAAATACCAGCTCAAACAGTCTTGTAAGGTATCTTTACAGATAACATAGCCTAAGCAGTTATTGCCTAGTAAAACTTGGGAATGTCTGGTATACAGAGCAGTTAACCCCGTTTCTAACCTTATATCTTCAGTTGCGACCTTTGAGGTATGAGGATTTTAAGAACTCGATGACGGTGATCAGGCCAAGCTTGCAGAAGAGCAAATGGGACGAGCTGGAGAAATGGAACGAGGAATTCGGTTCGAGCTGACAGCGACACACGCTGCCTGATGATGGTGATGATCAAGCGGCCCTATTTCCTTCTTACATGATTTATGTCTCCCACATGGTGGTTCACAACACAAGTGGTCACGCACACACGCCCATTGATGCGTCCTCGTTGGGCTTGGGCAGCACAACATCAACAGAAGCAGAAGGTATATAGTATAGCCACTCTGCTGCCCAAGTTATTAAAAAAACCTCGTGTGGTACTAGTCGATGAGCTGCTTGGGCTGCCGAGTCCGAAATCGAAGTGTCGTCGTTGTGTAAAATATAAACACAAAACTAAAGGCTTAATGGCTTGTATACATTTATGCATTTTAACAAACAGCTGAAGTTTAGGGTGGTGCTGCTACAACGTGCCGGATTCGATCCGTGGTAACAGCAGCGGCGGCACGGGTGGATGTCATATGCCGGTGCTCGCAGTCTACCGTGTATGTAGGGGCTGATAGGTTGGCCCGACGGGGCGGTCCTAAGGCCCATCCGGCACGAGTTGGTGCAGTCGGGCCTTGTTTTGCTTGTCTCCACTCATTCCCTTCCCCTCCGCCATCCTGGGCGACTCCATCTTCTTGCCTCGACCTTCCTCGCGAGCCAGACCGAGTGATGCTTGGTGGGAACCCTTGGGGGCCAAGCAGAGATGGTGTCGTCTCGCCGATAAAAGCGCGTGGTGGCGTGGGTGGGCGTTAGGGTTACCGCCCCATTTCTCGCCTCTCCGCCTCCATTTCTCCGGTGCAGCCTCTCCTACCTCCCTCTCGCCCTCGGTTCTCCGCCAACCACGTTCTCGCGAGACCCTTGTTGGTACTCCGGTGCTTTGACGGTATATGTCGCCTTCCCCCACCTCCTCTTCCTCTGATTCGTATCATGATTTTGTTTGCGCCGTGCACTGGTATTAGGGTTCCTGCTGGTACCCACCTAAATCCATGCGATTTTGATGCAGATCTACCTGTTTCTACTTGTTTCGTACTTAGATCTGTGCCTTTCGATGTGAATTTATCTTGTTCTTTTGTTGTCTGCTTAAGATGTTATGGATGATGATGCCTATTTCGATGTTCAAACCGAGCTCAATTGCCTAGGTCGATGATTTTATCATGATATGATGATTAGGGCGCTGGAGGAGCACCATTTGGTGTGGCAATCGCATCTACCTTAGTCATAGTTGTCTGATTCTTTGGTTACTTATTAGTTCACAGCACAAGTGGTTCATCCCTTTCTAATTTGTGGCTCCATACTGTCTGTTGATAGAGATGGACTTGGAAGGTAGACGTCGGGCGGCCGCTGCTATGATAGTAGCAGTGGCGTTGTTGTTTTCATATAGTTTAGGAGAAGAGTTGTAGATGCCCGGTCAGTTACCTATGGCCCCATGGCAGAGAGGGGGGCCAACAGAGGATTAACAACTTTAGGTACATCTACGAGTCAGATGATGTCCACTGTGTTAATCTGCTTAGGATGAGGAGGGCACCTTTCTTTCAACTGTGTGATCTTTTTCGCACTAGAGAGTTGGTAACTGACAGCAATCACGCTAGTGTTTAAGAACAAGTAGCAATGTTCTTGCATGTTGTTGGCCACAATGAGAGGTTCAGAGTTGTAGACCTCACATTCAGGAGGTCAATTGAGACAATCAATGTGTGTTTTTCGAGAGGTTGTTGTATGCGAGGGGAGTTGAGGAATGAATTGATTGTCCCTCCTAGCACCAATGTGCATCCTAGGATCCTTGGGAGCATAAGGTGGTACCCCTATTTTAAGGTTGGTGCCCCCTTGATTGCCTTGAAGGTCATCACTATTTAACCCATCTTTGACTTATCTATTTCACAACCTACTTTCTTCTGTCTATCTAGGACTGCATAGGAGCAATTGATGGAACACATGTCTTAGCTAGAGTGCCTAAGAACATGCAAGCTGCCTTTAGAGGTAGGAAGCACACCATCACACAGAATGTACTAGCAGCAGTGGACTTTGATTTTAGGTTCATTTTGTTCTAGCTGGTTGGGAAGGCTCTGCACATGATGCCCTTATATTGTCTGATGCCCTTGAGAGAAATGATGGCCTTAGAGTCCCACCAGGTACAATCCAAACCACACCTAGCCATTCTTAGTACACTTCCATAACATACCTACTAAAGCATGTCCCTGTGTTCACATTTTTAGGAAAATTCTATACTGTGGATGTTGGATATGCAGTCAGGCTTGGTTTCTTGCCACCATTTCATGGTACAAGGTACCATTTTAGGGAGTATGGGTCCAACAGACCTCAAAACCAGAGAGAACTCTTCAATCTAAGGCACTCCTCACTAAGAGTAACAGTGGAGAGAGCCTTTGGTGCTTTGAAGATTAGGTTCAGGATTCTGGACAACAAACCATTTCACCCATACAAAACACAAGTCAAGCTAGTTTTGGCCTGCTGTATCCTGCACAATTGGATCCTGAGACATGGGCAGGATGAACATGTCCCTGATGAATCAGCCTGGACTCCAAACACCACTCACAATGCTTCACAACCAGATCCGACATGGGCACAACAGAGGGAAGCAAGGGCTGCTCAAATGTGGTAGAACAGGGGCTCTTCTAGAGTTTAGGGTCAGTTCTGTTGAACCACTTGTGCTTTGTGTTCTAATTAGTAGTTGTGATGTCCACTTTATTTATTTATGAGACCTAAGGCACTGTGCAATGATGTGAAAACTATATGGTACCTGTAATAAGTTTGGATTATGTTTGTTTGGTACCAAATGAATTTGTTCACTGTTAATTGATTATGCACCTATGCTTTGTTCATGCTTGATATGGTGGTTATGTGGATAGGGAATGGCAGGGTTGGGTGAGCAAATTAACAACATTGATGAGGGTGAGCTCCTTCTTGGGGCTAATCAGCCACTGGTAGTTGCAGTTGAGGATGACAATCCTACAACCCCTCGTCCCAACGGCCCTATGCACTGGACTCCTGTCCAGTCTGGGTTTATGCTAAAGAGGTTCCATGGCCTAGTTGTGCAGTGTGGCAGAACCGTCTGAAATAACACGCTTTCGAGGGCGCTCGTCTTCCGCTAGACACTAAGCACCCCGAAAGTGGGCTACCTCGGACGGTTCCATCTAGCACACCCTAAGGAAGAACTTGAACCATCCACGTTTTACATCCAGGATCCAATAATGATAAAGAGTTTACAATACTTAGTCCATTTTATACAACAAGAATTCTTAAAAATAAATTATTACAATACCAGGTTCAGAGTGCAGAAATTTAACAGCGGAATCGAAATAAACATCTAACGATAAGATACAAGGATCCATCTATGCCCACCAGAAGAATCCTCCACACAAGTCACTCCTCAAGCTACACCTGCAACATGGGTAAATAAACCCTGAGTACACAATGTACTTGCAAGACTTACCCGACTAGTGAGAATAATTTTCTGACTCCAAAGGATATGATAGGCTTTATGGTTTGCTGGGTTTCTTTTGTTTGCGAAAAGCATTCTAGTAGCGAATCCTTATGTAAGTGTTTTATTAGCAGTCATGATTAGTTTATTAGCTAACCATTCTATGTAAGCACATATTCTACTTTCAAGCATGAGTTGAGCAATCAGATCCATTCATCATCCTTTATCTTCCAGTTCTTACTACGGTGCTAGACCATAGCCAAGTTATACCGCATCACATGGCGATTCGTGAACCAATGTATCCCAGCTGGGTACCCCGAAACACACGCCCTGCTTGTACCCTAGGCACAAGCAAGACCAACCCACCACTCTCCTGTCAAGGGGTCCAAGTCCCTGTCTAAACTAGGACTCCAAGCCTCCACACCTAAGTCCCGGACTCAGTGTGGTGCTTAGACCTCCACCATCCCCGCCTCCAATCAGTCGGTCCAAAAAGTGCCTGAACCCACGATAAGAGAGCAATGAGCCTTCCTGCTCCCATAAGCTAGTATGTGCTCAGGATAATAAGTCTGTGACCTGACCACCATCCACGGCAACGGACGGTCCTTAACCGACACGAATAGGGAAACAGTGTAACCAAGCCATGCCCCGTTGGCCGTGGGACACAACCTATTACACCCACCAATACCCATACCGTATCCTTGTCCAGTCTTCATTTTCCTTTTTCACCATTTTATTTAGAGAGTGATAATAATAATCACCTATTGTGAGTAACGGCAGGTTACTCACACTACTGAAGATTCTAAGCATAGCAGCTACTCGATCTATACTAGTAGGACTCATATGTAAAAATATCTATGCATGTAGTTTCAATAAAACTCTGGTAACGTAAATGCACATCTCATACATATATACAGTGATTATTCAAAATAAGGGTTATGCACCGGGGCTTGCCTTGGGTAGGCGGGGTGTCAGCTAAGTCAGTCGGCGGCGGCTTCGAGGCTTCCTCCGGTACGAAGATCTCCTCCTCGTACTCCTCGATCACCTCCTCGTACTCCTACTCGCCCGCGGTCACGAACTCCACCAACTCATTCTCTACATACATGCAATGATGGTGCAACACTTAGTACTACGTCAACAGCAACTCTTAAAATAAGAATACATCTACCAAGCTACTAAGCTAACTCTAATGACTAAGATGCTAAGCTACCCATTCTTTCCACTAAATCGGTATGACACATTCAAGTATTATCTTAACAACTAAAATGCATTTCTTCTTTTATTAAGGATTTAATGTATATTAAAACAAGGAGCACCTAACTACCTTATTTCTTGGTCTATTCTAGGGCCACAAAAATTATCGTGAGCACATAATAATACAATGAATCTACTGTAAAAATTTCATGGTCAAAGCTATTACCAATTTGCCACAAATATTCCTACAAATACTAATCTAAATAATACTAAACACTCACAATTGATTTAATAGGCCTCAATATCAACTTAGACATGCATAAACTAACTATGCCATAAGATAGACAACATTTTTAGGAACGCAACAAAATTTATTTCATAATTTTTGGACACTTATGCGAATTGATATTAATTTTCAAAGTTCAGCTCAGAAA